ACATGATAGCCCTGAGGAATTCGAACCTCAAATCCGACCGTTGTTGTGCCATGCGCCAGCTGTCCAAAATATCCTACCACCTAACGATCATTATCATTGAAGGGCATTTATGTCTTATCATGTCGGGTTGCTCCCTAGACTATAAATAGCCACCCCCTACAACCACTAGCTGGTTGGCTGCTCCGAGAGTAACTGACACTTGTCATTTGAGAGCATCCCATCCTCCGAAGACTTTGAGCGAAAATCATCAAGTGAGAAAAACCCAAATCCCAAACCCAAACACCTACAAACCCAAAGTGATTGAGCATCACTGAAGAGATTGTTCCTGTGTGGAACCGACGCTTGTTACATTTGAGGACTGTGTATCCTCCAGACGGTTAGGCGTTATGGTCTGAGCATCCAAAAGGAATTGTGGGTCGCCGAGTGACCAAGTCTGTGAAGGTTTGGAAGTCACCTGTGAAGACTTACCACTACTGTTGGGCGAGATTTGTGTGATCTTAACTCAAGGAGAATACGGTGAGGACTGTGTGTCCTCGAGTTTAAATACTTAGCCGCTCCAACCAGACGTACAACTGTCACAGCTGTTGAAACTGGTCGACCAAATCATTGTCTTCACCAAGCGTACTGGTTATATTTCCTCAACCCTTTTATTTCCTCAGTAATGTGTTGATGAATCTGATCATTACTGTTTGAAAACTTTGACTGAAGACTTTTTCTAATTCCTCAATCATATTTCTTCAGTTAGTTTGTCTTCATCTTGCTTATCCTGTGATTACGCTTTTTGTACTCTGTGTTTTGTCTTTCATTTCATCATGAAGACTATGATGTTGCTCTGTTATGTTTGTACCTGAGTACTTATTCCGCTGCAAGCAGTTCTTCGCTTAGGAATTTCCTCACGCTGAAATTCCTCAATGAAGAATTCGTAAAAATCGCCTATTCACCCCCCCCTCTAGTCGACGTAACACACTTTCAGCGGCGTCCAGGAGCTGCCGCGACAGTGAGAGGAGGGGGCGCCAGGTACCCCAAGCGCGGCGTGTTGCCGGCCTCGATGTACTCGAGGACGGCTTCGAGGGTGCGGCCGAGGACGCCCCACCATTGGCGCCGCCCCTCGGAGTTGAGGCGGCCGCTGGGCTCGACGCCGTTGATGGAGGCGAGCAGCTCCACGCGTCGGTGGTCAAAGTACGCCGTGCACAGCGTGTTGCTGCCGGGGCGTACCTCAACTGGTTCCGCGCCTGCTCCGGCTGGATGCGCGCGATCTCCGCTCGGCAATCAGCGTCGGCGGGTGCTGGAGGCACCGGGACGCCGCCGACGCTCAGCCTCCATGAACCCTGCACCCACATGTCCGACCGAGCCAGGTAGTCGGCCTTAGGAGGCGTGCCTCATCCTTGTGCAGGTGGTGGTGGCCGAAGTCGTTTGCCGCCGCACCGTCGCCTGGATAGCGCTCGGCTATGGTCGTCGGTAGGGGAGAGATGAGAGACAAGCATCGACGGTGAGAGGTCGAGAGGGGAGATGGTTTTGAGGCCGAGAGGGGAAAGGGTTTTGAGGCCAAGGAGTGTGCGTTCACCGACGAGGGAGGGCGGCTTTTATAGCCGCGGGTGGACAGCGAGAGGACGGCCGCCATGTGTACGCATGTCGGGACGCGCGTCGTTGCGCCTTCATTGCGACACCCGTTAGGCATCAATGGAAGACTGACCGGCGAGGCAGCACGACAACCTTCACATTGATTCCCGCAGGAACCGAGGCGATGAGGATGACGAAGGTGCCGAGTTGCTGACTCGGCGAGCCCGCTTGTTTTCGCGCCAAAACCGTTTCCACCTGGTGCCCCCCCGACACACCGGGTTCGGCTGGGTCCGCCGACGCCAAATCCGGCCCTAACCGGCGAAAAGTGGACTTCTGGGAGCGTGACTGGGCTGATTTTTCGACACCAGCGACAAAAAGGGCCTTGGGGAGGCTTGTTGGAGGCGCGGCCAAAGATGCTCTTACCCACGTATAATGTACCGGGGGGAGAGCACCAAATTATCTCAGTTTGCTCACCACTTTCGTCATCAAGAAGCTGGATATACCATAAGAAAATTCAGGACTTCAATCTCAGGAAAGCTCCAATAATGCTCAGGTCGTCCCTAGGACCTCTTTGTATGATTTCCTCGCAGACGTGCAACGATAAATTCCCCAACATGATAACATGACAACTAGATTTTTATCGTGTTACTTGCTATCATCAGTACTATAAAGCCCTTACCAACAGATAAATCAATTATGGTATGTACTCCCTCCGTCCGAAAATACTTGTCATCAAAATGAATAAAAAGGTATCTAGAACTAAAATACATCTAGATACATCCCCTTTTGTTCATTTTGGTGACAAGTATTTCCGGACCGAGGGAGTATGTCTTTTGATTTCCTGAGACATGGCGTTTTGACCCTGAAATTGGGAGTGAAATCGACCATACCACATTAAAAAAAATAGACCATACCAGTTAACCACATAGATTCTCAACTTAAGGTTTCCCTTAGAAAACCAGTGAGAAATAGAAGTGACAGGCTCACAACACAGCACTAGAGGCATAACAATCAGTAATGACGAAAACATGACAAGTTCTTAACTTGTTAGGCAGTTTGCTAGACGTAACTACATTCTGATTATGACAACCAGAGAAATCAAACACCCTCAACGAAATGGTAAGCTGTCACAGAAGCAACACATCTAGGCGTCAAAGAAAAATAAGTCAGGTTTGGTGAGAAAATAATAATGAACCGGTGATACATCAAAAGAATACAATGGCTACAAATAAAATCACGAGACGGACACTAACACTTCTAATTTGACATAGTACAAAGAATGTAGAAGTCCTTGCACAAAATCACAAGTCTAACAAATATGCATGTAAAAAAACTCAGGCATAAGAATAGTTGATTATATAGCACCCTCCTAGTTATAGGAACAATCAGGCAAGGGAAGTGGATGACCTTGGTTAAGCCTTATTCCACTGAGCCATCAACCCTCACCTTTTCTGTTCAACATGATAACACAATTTGTAACATCTAATCTACAGTTCACCACAGAAAATCAACCAAAAAACATTTGGAACTCCAGACATTAAAAGTTGGTTGAACTGAACATCATGCTGATTGCCTACACAATTTTACTATTTTACCTGCCGAAGATTATGTCGTCTATTCTTCCACAACTGGTGGTGGCTTACACGGTTTTATTATTTTATCTGCCAAAAAACATGTAGTCTATTGTTCCGCAACTGAAAGTAACATGAAGGTAGTAAGTTCATGATGTGAGTTGTTGAGGTGACTTCTTTTTGGCAATGCAAGGCAAGAGCTCTGCAAATTTCAAAGATAGAAAAAGAAATACGGAGTGATCCGGTTTATAAGGGAAACTAGGCCGAAAACCTCAAAGCACGGTCAAAACCGAGAGAAAACAAAAGAACAAAAAGGCCAAAAAAAAAAGATACGAGAGCTTGGGATAGGTACTAGAGGAACACACAGGACATCAAGGACATCACCTGATCCAGACACAAGTGTGCCAAGGCCCAAGACGATTAGAAGCTCAAGAGCAACCGACCTAACCAGCACACACTTGAACAGACTCAAACAAACCAAGTCTGACCAAACACTACCCAAATTTTAAGATCTAACAGGACTGCTGTAAATGTGTCATCCAGCTACAGGACATGATTTCTGTAAACGTATAAGGCAATCAGATATTTTGTTGTTTGAAATTTAGGTATGCCTTCAAAGTCCAAACTATGATGCATATGAAGGGTCACTAAGCATATTTATGCCATGTGTATATCATGCATAAATGAGCCAAAGACTGCTGCCAGCCCAGTCAGGAAGCCTCTCATTAGATGATTTATGTTTTGTAGGAACTTAAGAACTGCTAAGTGGTCCTATTATGATTGGATGAACAGATGTGCAGTAAACCATCTACAGAACCGTTGACCTATATTAAACTCTAATGAACCATTCAAAATTAGCGGTTCTGATGAGCCTAAAATTCTCACACCAGATGGTCCATGCTTATAGACTTGAATAAATATAAGCTATACCGAAAGCTCAAACAAACAAGGCTTAACTGCTTTCATATTATTGCAATACTGGACAAATTCACAGTAATGTGGTCCATACGGGACAAACATTAAGGAAATAATGGATCCCCAAACTTTATTGTCAGTAACATACATATATGCTGCATAAGGATAGCACCAGGAGGATGCTAGAAATCTCTGTATATAACAGATGTGGTACAAAAATATGGCTGACTGACTACTGGGTATAAGTTAACTTATGGTTTGACCTATCAATGCAAAAGCAGTTTGTCACAATGGTTTTGTTTTCAGTGATGGGGTAAGTGTTCTTCTATTATAAAGGTATAAAGTTACTATTACAGAATAATTCCCTTGAAAGATCGTTACTGGTCATCAGTGATATGTATTAGTATTGAATTAAACAATAAAACACTGTTTCTTTACGAAAGACAAAGTGGACAACGTTGATTGTATGAAATTCCAAACAATGGATGACTCTTGGAATGAAATCAAATAATCAAGGAGGCACAGTTAAAATTGTGGCATCAACTCATTAAATGAAACCACATACATCAACAAGGCGCAACTAAAATTATCAAACACAAGATACAAGAATCAGCAATTAGAAATTTGTTTTATACCATTCCCAACTTGCTCCGATAGGCCAAAGAAAAATGTGCCTGCTGTGGTAAACATGCCGCGTTTATCCTTTATGTTGGGCTACTACCTTTGATTTCAGACAAACATAAGATCAGCTATGATGGCTAAGTAAGCAAGCAAGGATTGCATCCATTATAAGCAGCAGATTAATTCAAGTAGCAAAACATCAGCTTAGCTAGTGATAAACCGTCTGCCGCAGAATAACAAGTTGTAACCTTATGTAAGAATTAAGCATTGAATGTTGAAATCCAACGAGACAGCTACAGAAACGCAAAAAGGATTGCACCTTGCAACCACCCATCAAGCTGGAGACGGCTCCTCCGTTGCCTTGTTTTCCCCTCCTCCGCCGTTCTTCGGCGGATCACTGCTCACGGCATCAGAAACGAGTGAAATTGGGCGGTGCTCGATGACCTCATCGATGAGCCCCCAGGCTTGCGCCTCCACTGGGTCCATAAACATGTCCCTCTCCATACACTGCTCGATGCGGTCGATGGCCTGGCCAGTGTGCTTGGCGTAGATCTTGTTGAGGCGGTCGCGCACCTTGAGGATCTCCTTGGCCTGGATCGCAATGTCGGAGGCCTGCCCGGAGGCACCGCCCGACGGCTGGTGGATCATAACCCGGGCGTTGGGCAGCGCGCGCCGCTCGCCGGGCGCGCCCGCGGCGAGCAGCAGCGAGCCCATGGAGGCGGCCTGGCCGATGCAGAGCGTGGTGACCGGGGAGCGGATGTACTGCATCGTGTCGTAGATCGCGAGGCCCGCGGTGACGACCCCGCCGGGGGAGTTGATGTAGAGGTGGATCGGCTTGGCGGGGTTCTCGGACTCGAGGAAGAGCAGCTGCGCGACGACGAGCGAGGCCGTGTCGTCGGCGATGGGCCCGTGGATGCAGACGATGCGCTCCTTGAGGAGACGCGAGAAGATGTCGTAGGCGCGCTCCCCGCGGGAGGTGTGCTCGATCACCATGGGGACCAGCCCGTACTCGCGGCGCGGGGCGTGGCCCGCAGCCGGGGAGGTCGAGAAGAAGGCCCGCGGGGCGGCGGCGGAGGCGAGTCGGCGCAGCATGGCGGCGGCGCTAGGGTTTGGGGCCGGGTTTAGGGGATTGGGTCTCGGCGCGGCGAGGTGAGACCGAGACGGCGGGGTGGGGAGAGGTGAGGTCGGGGTCAGAGTCAGACGAGTGGGGCCGTGGGGAAGCATGGTGGGGTCGGGAGGGGGTGGCTTCGTGGGGACGCCATTGGTGGGGGTGGCTTGTAGGTGAGAGTGAGGCTACAAAGGCTGCGAGGATGGGGTAGGTAGTGGTGGGTTGCGATGTGTGGGGGAAAGGGTGAGGTTGTTCCTTCTTATCTGTTCAACTTGGGCCGGGCTGAACTCTTATGGACCCTTACCAGAAAGCTTGCGGAGGCGAAAGGAGATGTCCCATTTTTATAAGCCAGGATGTGGCGATGCTTAAAAAAATGTTGCTAGCTCACATCATGAGAATTTACCAAGTCCCATATTATCCGTAGCCTTATTTTGGATGATTTGTTGTTATTTGAGATGAAATAAAGCTAGTCATGATGGCATTTCCTAAAAAAAAAGGTCTCATATTGTTGTGGAATTAACACATCAGATGTCCTAGTGTGAGAACTTAGTAGTGAGGCCAACACATCTATGTGGTAGCTTGAGAGGGGTTGAGCGGAATCGAGAGATGCAATACGCAAGACAAATGATTTAGACAGCTTCGGGCCCCGGGAAACATCATCCGGTAATAGCCCTACATGTTGTTTGTGGCTAGGTCTTATTATCCTCATGAGGGAGTCGTCGTAAACCGGCTCTCCTCTAGTTGTATCTAGCCCTAAAGATTATTTCTTGTTGCTTGTCCCTTTTTGGGGAGCCCTGCCCTCCTTATATAAGTTGAAGGAGCGGGTTACATGTGGAGTCCTATTAGGATTAGGACTAGTCTACCTTCTAATACAAACCAGATACAAGTCCGGGTCTTAACTCCTTGTAGGATAATATTCCTTGTGCTTTCCTCATAAACCGGCCCGCCATTAGCATAAACCGGCCTTCTGGGCCTTGGGCCTTGTCATCCGTCCGTCCCGCCCGCCGGGTTATTAGTGAGTCATAATGTTCAGATAGGTTGCTTGTAAACCGTCTGGTCAGGGCGAGTCGCCAGTGAATCACCAAGTGTCAGCCAGGTCTCAAGTAAACCGCCAAGTCTGGCCGGATCATATTTCCGGTCGGTTCATACTGCGGGGTATATCCCCGACATTAGCCCCCAGTTTAATTTGGATTCATCCATGTTAAACTGATCTTGTAAAACAAACACAAGAACAAACTTGGCGGCTTGTGCTTCGGGTTAAAGATTCTTATAAACCGGCACTTGATCATTCTTAAATCCTTGTCATTTCTTCCTTCTAGAAAAAACCGAGTCAATAGACCAGTTTCATAATCAATTTGCTTGCAGAAGATATTTTGTAAACAAAGAATCCATTTGAATCGGCCTTCAATGCTATGATTTGACAAAAATATTGGTCTTCAAATATTCAACTGATATTCAGTCGGTTTGAAAATGTAGAACTTGCCGATCTATGATTTCCAAAATCGTCGGGTTATAAAAACTGATAATTCTGGGTCATGATTGTTTCCAATGCCGGTTCATGATTGTTGCCAACGCCGGTTCATGATTGTTGATGACGTCGGGTTATGATTGTTGTAGACACTGGGTCATAATGATTGGTGACACCTGGTCAATCTGGTTTGCTCAAAACTGAAAATCGGAAGATATTTCTCCCTTATATCCATATTACCTGTAGCTCCCAAGTCTTGAACAGAACAGAGTGATGATTTGAGACTTGTTTCCATATAATTACTGCCACTTTGAAGAAATCCATGTTGTTCATCTCAGTCACCAGCAAAAACTGAATACTTCATATATGTAGCCCCCAAGTGTCGGGTTGTCATGCTTGCAGCAACCTGGGACTTGAAATTGCCTTATGGTCATAAAAACTTCAACCAATATAGCCCCCAAGGGTCGGGTCATTATGCAATAATGAGCAGGGACTTTGTAAATATAATCATGTAGATTTGAGCAGTGATGTGTAGCCCCCAAGGGCCGGCTCAATAAGATAATATTAAGCTGGGACTTGATATATATTTCAACAAAAATAACATCATATGATGTAACCCCCATCATGGGGCTTGAATCCACGTCCACAAGGTTAAGAGCCTTGTACTCTACCAACTGAGCAATGGACCCTTCAATATAATGAATTTAACTTGTGTACCTTGAAATGTTGACAGGAGCAATTGGTAGCCCCCAAGGGCCGGCTCATTATAATGTGATGAGTCGGGTCTTCATTAAGATGAGCAAAAAATGACTTTGCATTAGCCCCCAAGTGTCATGGTGCATGCTTGCAGCGACATGAGACTTGCATATTTGATGTAATCTCAACTTGAATAATATAGCCCCCAAGTGCCGGGTCGTAAGCCTGCAGCAACTCGGAACTATTCCTTCAATTATAGAATAAATCATATCCATTGATGATATGATAGCTATTGCGCTAAAGCGACTTTGAAAACCTTAATCATAATACTGGTTATTGATAACCATAATAAAATCCAGCCATGTTGGCTATTTGAAGATTTGAATAATATAATCCAATGATTTATGAGTGCATGATTCCAATGGCGCAATCCAAATATATACTGGCGACTTATAGTCCAAAGCCAGGCCGGGTTAATAAATACCGGATAATTTCTCATCATATACTGGCGACTTATTGTCTTAAAGCCAGACCGGTTTAACAAACACCGGATAATTTCTCATCATATACTGGCGACTTATCGTCTTAAAGCCAGGTCGGTTTAACAAACGCCGGTGATTTATAATTATGCTTTATTCAACCTGTTTCTGCATACAACAAGTTTAAAGTGTCCTGGCGGTTTACCGCCGGACGGGTCATAATGCCCAACATATAACCCGAGTTTATAACCAAGGCTGCAAGGATAATAAAGTATGAAATATATCATACCTATGATATTGAATCACATTGTTGGTTTACCAACTTTTTTGTAGTAAGGGTGGAAACGCAAACCTGGAGTGCTGATAACTCCCACCATGCTTTGCTGGTTTATAATAAAGCCATGTCGGGTTACAATAAACACCGGTTTATCCATATATAATACCGGCGACTTGTAGTCGAAACCAGACCGGGTCAATAAATGTCGTATTATAACTGATCATGTACTGACAACTTATAATTGAAAGCCAAGCCGGGTCAATAAACGCCGGTCTATCCATGCACATAGGATACATGCTACGATGATGTAATGATAATGCAACATATGATGATGTATATGTATGACCAAGAGGGTTTAGGCTATGGTTCATATATGACCAGAGCCCCCAAGTAGTCATAATTGTGGCATTGTACCGATCAAGAGGTGTAGCTATGGTTCGGATATGACCAGAGCCCCCAAGTGATTTCCATGTTGGCCTTATGCCTATCAAGAGGTGTAGCTATGGTTCCGGATACGACTAAGCCCCCAAGTGATTTCCCTGGTGCCCTTATGCATATCAAGAGGTGTAACTATGGTTCGAACCCATAGCCCCCAAGTGATTTCCCTGGTGGCCTTATGCCTATCAAGAGGTGTAGCTATGGTTCGGATACGACCAAGCCCCCAAATGATTTCCCTGGTGGCCCTTATGCCTATCAAGAGGTGTGACTATGGTTCGAACATAGCCCCCAAGTGATACTGTGAGCTGTGCTCAAGGGATACCCATGTTTGAGTTGTGCTGTGCGGCAGACTCTCTTTGGCCCCTTATGATAATATTGGCTTGATAGCCGGATTACCGAAGTAACCAGAGCTGTGCTCTTATGATAACATTGGCTTGATAGCCGTATTAATAGGGTAGTCACAGCTGTGATCAACCATATGATAAGCCAATAAGGCATGATACCCATGTTTGAACCGCGCATCATGGCAGCAAGTTCTCTTTGGCAACCTTTAATTTTTCTGACAACTCAAACTTGCGAGAGATGAATTCTTTTTTTTTGAGCCGGAATTTTTAAATCGGATATTGAAAGCTTCAAAGCTTTGTGGTAGATAAATTTCCTTAAACCGGATTGTAAACCAAATATTTTGAGAGCTTTAGTGAGACTGACTTTCCTTGAGCCGGATTTTAAACTGGATATTCAAAAGCTTCAACGCTTTATGGGAGACAGATTTCCTTGAACCGGATTGTAAACCGGATATTTTGAGAGCTTCAGAGCTTTGTGGGGGAACAAATTTTCCTTGAACCGGATTTTAAACTGGCATTCTTCATTTTGAACTGGAAAATTCTTCTGACGGCTTTTAAATTTTCGCCAATAAGGCAGTAGCCTCCGGGACCGGGTTATCTTTCCCTCCAACGTCCTGGGGTTCTTGACTTCAGTAAAAACCGCGGACATTTGCTGAGTCATATCATTGTAGCCCCCGAGTCTCAACGTGACTTGAGGAGTTGGCTTGAGATTCTCCATATTGGACCGTGATATAAACCGGCACAAGTTGCATATCATTGGTGTTGATAGCACGATGCAAATCCACAAAAGGTTGAGGTGACTGCGGCGGGTTATAAATGATCCCGTATGAGCCGTGTCAGCAACTTGGCCAATGGTTCCTTCAAGGCTATTTGAAGTTAACCGAACTGTAGTGGTGGCGACTTGTGTGCCTGCCCACTGGACCACCCAATGCAAACAGCGGTTGATAGTATATGATAACTTGCCTTCATTTTGTTGAAAGAAAACCAGGCTACCCAAGCTGTGACTTGCTCATACTCAATGAACAGCTCATGCAGACAGGTGCGGCCTGGCGTGTTGATGTAGACCATGCCGCAAGAGACGGACGGAAAATACGACCGCAGCATCAGAGGCGACACAGACAGATGAGTCGGCCGCGGCATTGTAAACCGGTGCGGACGGGCGAGTTAACCACATCATGCTGATGTAAACTGGTCTGCAGAATGGCGGTTTGCAGATATATTCACCGAGCTTGATGGTGTGGTCAGATGCTAGCGCATTATAATGATGGCGCGAGCTATACATCCATGACACGACCATAACTTTTGTGATGAATAATTGCTCCTGCATAAATAATATCACAAGCCGGAGTAATTTGTTATTTTAAAGAATAAAATATATCAATAAAAATTGATTGGATAGATTTCACCTTGATAT